ATATATATATATATATGGAGTTTTCCATATATTTGGACAAACCAAAGATGTGTCCAGAAAACCAGCACTTTTCCAGATAGAAATTCTTCTAAAATGCAGAAGGATATCTAGCTCATAGCCACACCCCTACCTACTCAAATCCAAGCACTATTCTCTCAGTAATGGAAAAACGTGTGCAAAAATTAAAGTCAAACTAGAAAAACAAGCTTTCAAAATCCATAAAATCACATTTAGTTGTCCACATTCCTAAACTGTAACACTCACAATGCTTTGAACTTGGTTACAAAATAGTAGGGTATAGTGTACAGATCTAAATGTATATACACATATTTCATATGATTTAGATTGTATGGTGAAGATATTGCAGGCAGAGCTTTGTTCTAAATGAACAAACATCCATGTCAGAATATTTGAAAAGCACTTACACCGCCTTCCCCTCTATTCTGAAAGACAGCCCACCTTCTCTTAGGCAAACAGAACTAAAAGACAGGACCATATTAAACACATAATACACACTCGATCTCACACTCTAACATACATACTCATTGTTTTCCAGTGGTATTACTAGCGTCTTACCTTTAGGGTCTACTTCACGAGAAATCTTGATTGCATCTGACGTTGCAAGATCTTGGTTGGCAGGAGAAATAGCCAAAATAATACTGTTTGGCTGCATTGAATTATTTGAACAAGAAAATATTTGTTAGCCATACTCGCCCAGTAACGAATTATTTTTAACAAGAATCTTTGCTTTTTTAACCTGTCAAACAAGAGCTTTCCATTCGGGACAGAGGAAACATTTTTTTTGAAATACAAAATATAAATTTTCCAGAATCCTTTCACAATTTAAAAGCAAATACCGAAAGCAATTCCAAAGAAACCTCTAAGATTGTAAAATACCTTCTCAATATAAGAGCGAACCATGTTATCAATGTCCTGCACAATGCTTTCGGGTTGGCCATCTACAATAAGCCAGTAGATTATCAACCAGGTTATATTCTATAGTAAAATGTCCAAAGGAAACAGATATAGGTACCCAAAATTATATGCAATAAACCAGGGGGTGATAAACTCACCAACAGCCACTTTAGTAAGTCCAGGAAGATCAATCAATGTTAAATTCACAACTGTAATCATCAAAAACATGCAAATCACTTATGAGAAGTATGAAGAGGGGCATTCAGAGAAAATTCATTTTCATTCATTCAGGAGCTAAGACTGCAAACACACACTAGATATTAGAGGCTGCTTATCTGAAGGCATAACTTCATAATTAAAAATAAATAAGACAATAAAGGCCACCAATTTCAACTTTTAGACAAAAATAAAGCTACAAATGACAACCGGCTAACCATATTACTTATTAGCACGAATTGTGCATCACAGAAGGACCAGTCAAAGTTCTAGTAAATAGCAATGAAGAAATCAAATATTCCAGCATATGGACTCTTGCCCAGCAATTCACTATCTTAATTCATCTTTTACCCACCTTTACCCTCAACTTCAACATCCTAACTCCCAAGTAATCTACGTTCCTTGTGTGGAAGGGTTTCTTTCTTGTTTTTTTTCCCCTCCCTTTTCTCCGTTCTCTTGCGGCAGGGTCCAGAGGGGAGGGTTTGTTCACTGCAACTAAAATATTATCTTTCACTATCTCCAATAATTTATTTTCTACAATAGTTGCTCAGCTTCAAACAATATCAAAGAAATTCCTAAATCTCAAATTTCTTTGACAACATAAACATGCTAAGTCCTTCATTGAAATTAAAATTAGTATACTTCTTCATTATGCATATAAAATTAGATTTGCAGCAATTACATATGACTAATTAACCTTCATATCTCACCATTAGGGGAGTGAATGCTGAGATAAATTGGAACAGTTGAAATTGCTTTTGAACGGCCTGTCTCTCGATCAGTCTCCTCTGAAATCTCTTTTCTCACAGCAGCTGCACAAAATAAACTAGAGATTTGGTATTCAAAATACACCAAGAAAATGTGAAATGTAATTTCAGAAAGATTTAAACAATTGGGTGACCAATAATATTAATAACTTGGATAAAGAAAGATCAACTATGATACACTGTTAAGAGTAGTAAAAATCTAAATGTACATATGGTGTAACGTCAAATTAAAGTAGCAGTTAAAAATCAGTCAAATGTTGTCATGGTTGGATATAAGTCCAGTCAATCTAAATATTAAGCCCTTTTTTAGCCCCATTTTGAGAGGGAAAATGCATTTTTGAATAGTGATTTTTGGAGAATCTGTGGTTAAAAATTAAGAAAAAGTTTTCGATTTACGTGTAATATTATTTTATTGGAGAATGTGTGGTTTAAAATAAAATTCTCAAACAGCCCCTAAGCAATGACTTACCAAAGTCAGTGAACCTTTTTCTTGGAAGATGTCCAAACTCTGCATATTCTCTACCTTCATCAATCCGATGAAGCTGTAATACAAGAGGACGTCGGGTAACAATGCCTGAGATCATATGTGAAGATCAATTTGATTATTTATAGGCATACAAATGTCATGAAGAATGGACACTTTCATAATATTATAATCACAAAACGCGTGTTGATATAGCAGCAAAAGAACTGAAAGCATTAATTACCAGATCCTCGAGGTAAAAAGTCCTTTCCCACAATGCTCTCGAGCACTGAAGACTTTCCAGAACTCTGCAAAAAGTTCAGCATTGGGATTAGTTACCACAAAATGCTAATGACTAAGGGAACTATAAAACAAAATACATCTTATGAAGAAAAAATAATATAATTAATGGAAAAAACACATCACGTAATAAAAAATTAATGGAGAGAACACATCCTGTAATAAGCAATGCTACTAATCCAGACTACACTTTTGCATTAGCCCAGCATCCAATGTGGGGTACAAAATCATAGAGCTACACCAGAAGGTCATAAATCATCCATTTGATATAAATAAATAAAAAGTGAGAATACATATGGCTTTAGATGAGAAGGTTAACATAGTACTAAAGCCAGGCAAGACCTAGGTTCAAGTCTCGCCATTTAGTAAAAATAGGCTTTGATGGGAAAGAGAATGCATCCACCCGTGAGGGGGGCGTGTTGAAAAAATATATATATATAAATTGAATACATTTTATCTAACAATTTAAGCTTAACAAATGAAAAGAGTAAATAAAATTATGACGAAGATCTGGAGAAACAATGGTCAAGGAAAAACTACATTATCACCTTACATACATTAGCACGAGATATACATATTTTAAATTAAAAGAAAATTATAAAACTTAACGAGATTTTCAGACCTGACCACCAACAACGGCGATGGAAGGCAAGGCGTCCCAGAGAGTGGGCAACGCGCTTTCATCTCCATGATCGCCGAGCGCGGTACACGCTCTCTGCAGTCTGTTCACCAATGCTATGAGGTTCTCCATTGTCGTTTCTTTCTAGGCAATCTCCGAGTCAAGGATCAGCAGCGAGTTATCTCCGCGATTCAGTCCACTGAATATCAACAATATATATCTGAAAAATCAAATCCACCTGATTTCGATCTGATCTTGAATGGAATCAACGTATCGGAAGAATTTATAAAGAGAAAGAAGAGTGAGTGTGTGCCTGCAAATTGAATTAGGAATAATGGATTTGAGGAAATTTGAAAGAAGAAGCAGAAGCATGTTAGGGGCCGTTGGAGGGTGGGGTCCCGACTTCGTGGTGAAACGTTCATATATTTTGGACTGGTTCTGGATTCGAATTAAATCAAATTATTTCATTTTTCAAATTTAATCCATTTCTTGTGATATTTAGATCCCGTTTGGTACCGATTAAAATCTAATTAAAATTAAAAATATAGTCGTTATTGGTCCCCACCCGTCTAATAAAAGTCAACAATAACGACTAGTTTTTTAATTTTAATTTGATTTTGATCTCTACCAAACGGGCTCTTGAAACACAGTGTACTTAGCTATGTAAACATGGGATTAAAATCAAATTTTTAATAAATTTTGATAAAAATTGATGAAATATATTGTGAATCCTATAAAATATGTGATTAAAATTCATTATTAAATTTGATTTAAATTAAAATTTAGATTTTAATCTCTGCCAAACATTGGCTACTATTTTACAGACAGACTAACCAAGTAGCCAATAGAGTTTGTCACTATTTGGACTCCATTTTTTCTAGACTTTTTAATTCACTTTCTCCCATAAAATAACGTTACACATAAACATGAAAAAAAAAAATCATATTTTTTAATCACATATTTGTCAAAAAAATTACTATTTTGTTCAATTTTACAATTTGACGATAATTGCTAACAGACGGAGATCGGTGCCGTGCCGTGCCGTCCTAGTAACTTTGCAGGCCAAAATTGCTAATTGGACTCATGATTCATGGAATTAATTTTGAAATTTGTTAATCAAATTGAGTTTGAAATGGGTGGATTTGACTTCCTTTTTAACTTACTTATGAGAAGGTGAATTACTCCATCAATCAGTGTACTCTATCTAAAGTTTTCATTAAATCATTAAGAGTGTATTTGGTAGGAATTTTTGGGGAAAGAATTGATTTTTGAATAGTGATATGATGGGAAATGTATGGTTGAAAAAAAAAAAAAGTATTGATGTGATGGAAAATATTATTTTATTGAAAAATGTGTGATTGAAATTTGAAAATGAGAATTGATTTACTATAGAAAATGAGAATCTGTACCAAACAAGCTTTAAGCTTCAAAAATTACGACGTTCGTCACTGAATTTTCGAAACAGAAACTCATCTATCATCAAACGAACTTCTATTAAAAAACTTGACAGACTTGATGATGTGACCAACGGAGTACATGACATGGCACATTTGTGTGAGTGATTTATGCCAAGTAAGCAAGTTGGTAGTGATGTGGAAAATTTATGAAAGTTGCTATATGCCCGTTTGATTCACATTATTGTAGAATGAAAATGAAAAATATAGTCATTATTGGACCCATACAAGAGATAGACATTCAAAATTAATGGCTTGATCTGATGGATAATGATCATATTTTTCATTTTCATGGATGAAAAATGAGAAACAAACGGGACTATATAAATAAAAAGGTTTTTGACTTTTAAAAAAAGCATTAAATAAATTTCCCCCCAAATTGATCGCCACTCCAAGCCCAAATCAGAAAACTTTCCCCCAAATTGGAACACCCACTGAATCTCGTCGTCGGTACAGTAATCGAAGGCTGGAAACCAAAAATCGCCTGTGCATGAAAAGCATTGCACCACATACTATAAATTTCCCATTACAAAAGCATCCCAGGTTCTATCAAAATCAATTGGCTATTACAAAAGCATTACTTCAAAATCAACATGGCTATTACAAATGCATTACAAAAGAAGCCCAACATCCCAGTTTCCATCAAAAGCATTACAGAAGCATCCCATTTGTAAGGGTGGCGATTTGGTGTTTGAGGGCTCTTGATTTCCGGCTGGAGTGGCGATTTGTAGCTTCTTGGCGTCGATTTTTGGTTTTTTACCGACAAATTTCAGCCTCCGCCTTTCAATTTATCGCTGGCGATGGGGTTGAGTTCTTCTCAATTTGGGGGAAATAAGGTTGGTGGTTTAGTTTGTTTGGTGTTACGTTCTAGAATTTGTAGATTTCACCACGCAAAAATAAAAATAAAAATAAAAATAAAAAAAATGCCACATCACTAGCACCTTTCTTACATGACCTGAATCACTTGCACAAACATGCCACTTCATGTTTTCCGTCCCCCACATCATCAAGCCTAGCATAAGTTTGTTTGATGATGAATCGGGTTGTCGTTTCGATGTTTAATGACTTAGTTTTTGAATTTTAGTGACCTGATGAAAACTTTAAGTAAAGTTTAGTGATGGTTGGGGGTAATTAAACCCTTATCAGATGATTATGAAATTTAGTAATAAAAAATTCTTTGTCTATATACATGGTACACATACACGCCTAACTTCGAATTTACATCGAGCTCTTGTATGATTTAGATAAAAAATAATTTTTTTAAATTAATTTTGATAAAAATTGTTGAAATATATAATTAAAATTAATTAATGACTTTGACTTAAATTTTAATCAATTTTTAAACTAAACCAAACAGAGACCCATAGCCACAAAGATTGTGGTGAAATCATTTGGAAAATAAATTCAAGAAATAATAAATTTGAAAAAAACATCTAATAATTATTGGATTCTCGTTTCAACTAATTTGACTTAATCGCGTAAAAGGGATAGCGGAATTTTACCCTTGAACATAATTCAAGAATTCAAATCATGGACTGATAGGCGTAGACCTAAAGAATGTCAAAAAAGCTTAGCAGCTCGGGCGGTCGGGCTCGGCCCGAAAAAAGCCCGATCCAAGCCAGCTCATGGTTCAGTGGCATCGAGCCGTAGCTGGAGCCGAGCCCCATTTTGGGGCGTTAGCTCGAGCTAGCCACATTTGGTTGTAAATTCCAATGTAACAGACATATATCTACAAAGACAATTGAGCTTGTTTTTTATTTTTATTTTTAAGTTTAGATGCATTTTTTTTATATGTTAATATTTAGTTATTAAATATAATACGTATAAATTGAAAAAAGAAAACACGAGCCGGCTTGACCCGTTAAGGCTCGGGCCCAAAAAAGCTCGGATTTGTTTTGCTAGAGCCAAGCCACGAGCTTTGAGTTTCGGCTCGTTGACATGACTAGGTAGACCCAAGAATATTATCCAATGTGGACGGAATTTCATCAAAGCTAGACTTTGAGTTTTCGACCATAGATTTAATGGTGGTAAAAATATAAAACAATATTACGACAACACTAAAAATGACATAATTTATAAATTTCACGTGTTCTTGCTAGTTTTCATGTTTTGATATCATTGTACAATGGTTTCATTACCAAATTTAAAAAAAAAAATCTTTCTCTACATAAACAATTATGCTATCATCCATCGATCACCTATCTGATTGCACAATAGTGATAGCAACAGGTAAAATGAACGCTGTAGTCAAAAGCTTGTAAACCAACGATATGACCTACTTTTTTTTGTCGTAACTAACTTCTTTACAAGATCACTAAGGTCATTCAACACTTTAAACTCTTTGTTAGAGCGCATGTAAAAAATATAAGTCTCAAGTTGATCGTTAAGTATGACGAGATCAACTATAGAAAAATCTTCTAGATAAAGCTTAGCAAATTGAATCAAACTTTTTTTGTTAAAAGAAGAAAATGAATTACCTCCACATAAACAAGTTACACAAATGAGTAACTCTATATTATCCTTCGAGAAATGATCATTCAACTCTCAAAGTTGTAAATCGATGACAGAGTAAAATAAATCTACACGGTAGTGATGTAAATTTAGAATTTTTGGAGGATTACACTATGGACGACCCGAAGTGCACAACGTGCAAACATATCATCCATGTTGGGAATATCAATAGAATACTATTGACAAAATGAACATACTTCTTTCCAAAAGGGATCTCACCCCATCTATCATTACTTAGGGTCAATACTGACATTTGATTTTGCATTTAATCTACACCTGGTGAGAAGTGTTTTTAGGATTTTAAATGAATTATAAAAGGCATTATAAATGAAAGATTAAGATATTATGAATGCAATGCAATTGGTACCAATAAAAGAATTATAATGTGACTTATATCGTGTATCACCAGAACGCTAAAGGATTATTTCTTGATCAAGTCCATGTTCAATTAAAATCTCACATTTCTTCAATGACTTCATAATAAAGTATGAATGTTCTCTCAAAAATATCACAACACAACTGTATTGTGAGACAATTTTAGGGGTGGTTGAGCCGACGAATGATATTATCTAGAAGTGTGTTGATTCCAGGTATGTTGAAAATTTTATTGTATGGATTGTCTTTTGCTCAGTATAAATTAGATAATGACCATATGTTAGGGATTTAAACCCCATTTATTTTATCATGCTAAAAAGAATTATTTTGCACTTGTTGAATTTTAGGCCTCATTCCGTAGCTTTTTTTACTCGAGTTATTAAGTCTGTTGGGGTTTCTCAAAATTCGGTACCTTTTGATCTAAACAATCGAGGAGCTATTGACCTAATATTGGCTACAATGGTAAAAAAAAAAAGTTTAAGAGTGTGAGATCAATTATGAGTTTTAATTGAAAAAAAAATTGATTTTGTGTAATTGTATTCAATATTTGGACTTAGATAACTCGTGAGTTTTAATTACTTAATATAAGCTTAAATGTCGAAACACTCAACCGAACTAGAGCAAAAAAATAAATGAGTGAATTGAGAGCAGCCTTTAGATTTACACCCGGAGAAACAAAATGAATAACTATTTAAGGAGTGTAAATCTCACGTGTGAGAAAGAAAATATTTGACCACAAAGGGTTGGGTTTGAGCCAATTTGAAATTTATTCGTCTTGATAATTATTTCCTA